CTGAATTTCAATTACAAAATATTATACAGCTGAATACAATTTTATAGAGAATTCTACATTTTCAAACTTCTCAACAAAAAAACAATTTCTACTTTTTAAAAATTCTGTTAGGTCTGATGAATTCAAAAGCCAAGGAAAAACATGTCTGCCATATCTGCCATCTTCAATGCAGCAAGTCCTGTTTACTGATGTGAGAAGATGCACATTTCCCATTTATGCTAGTCAATTGAAGCCATACAACCTGAGTGAGTGTTGACAGGCTTGGGCAACGTTGGGGCTTTCATGTGGAGAAGTACTCAATCATTGGCCACATAAGGCTGCAGTGTGGACTGAAATAATCATGATGCTGAGGTGTGGGCAGTTGGTCTCACAGGGCACAAGTCAGTTTCCATTACTGTTGTGCGAGATAAATTTGAGCAAGGTACAATTATATTAAAGCCCCAAAGCAAACTGGGCCACTCCAGTCCCACTTGGCTGTTCATTTCTAAAGTAGAGGCTGTGATTATTGGACATGGCACCACAGTTAACACCAGTTGCCATGTAACAGGGTGGAGCAATTTTTTACTCATTTTGAGCCATCAATTTATTTGATTTGACAAATTTGAGATTTTTTAGTCTTACTAAAAACAAATAAAATGGCTATCAATATTAATTTAGTGAATATAAACATTATAGACTTTTTAATTGCTACTATTCTAACATTTCTGCTTCCAAATCATTTTTTACACATAGATTATCTGTAGACCTGTCCATTTAAATACATCATGCTGATCGTGATCTTAATAAAATTCCCATTAATTGCACAAAAGAGACCTCTGAAACTTTAATCTGCACAGGCAAAGATGTACAACACTGTTCTGTCATTTTAGTATGTTACATATCTAATGTATTTATTTATTTGATAGGGATGGGTATGTACACCTCAGCAGTTTATCAGTTGAAATGACAATACAATAATTTTGTGCACCAACATTATGGGCTTGCAATATTTTCATTCCAATAGGCCTACCATATATCAGTCATGTATATATTAAAATTTTATCATCTGAGAAACACAATGAACACTCTGTGCTGCTTCTACATTAGCCTGGTACAGCTGAATGAAGAAGATACTGTGAACTATGGCTGGGTGCAAAATATCCTTTTATTGATCGTGATTTTCAGTATAATTTCATAGTGTCTTATTAAACATAATTTCATAACTTTCAATACCAATTTCCTGAAAATTACTGATTGAACTGGCTGCAGTTCTCCTGATTAAACCTAGGCTGATCATTGACCAACTCAAACTCATTTAAAATTCCCTGCAGACAACTAAAACCCTACAGACAACACCCAAATCCAGAGCGAAAAAAAGATCAGCAACAGCCACCCTAAAAACAATTTCAGTTTTGTCTCATTGCTGCCCCATCAACAACGTTTGTTTATTTCAATCTGGCTGAAATCACAACCTCAGCTACTTGAACAACTCCTGTCACAGTGAAGACGAGCATCTACAACCTAGACAAGACATGTATGCCTTGCAGTTATAGTTTGCTTCCCCCTTGTGGCCAACATCTGTATCTAACTTAAATGATCCAGTCCTTAGTTAAATAATGCAATCACAACAAATTGTAGCTGGGGTGGTGCCTTCCATTTTTATTACACAATTTGACATAAAACAAACTGGTAATAAATGGCACAACTCCACTACATAGAATCTATTAAAAGAAATTACCAACTTCTTTCTTGTTGTAAACCTTAATGCTGTTCAAAGTTCTATCTCATCAGTCCATGTTACAAAATACTTGTTATCTGGTCTAGCCTGTCTTCTGTTCACCTTGTTGAACAATTTTAGCCATATTGTTAGGACTGAGGATTTCAATCCAGTAACCATCAGGATCCTGAATGAAAGCCAGTCCAGACATTTTACCTGGACAAAGTCAGAGAACAGTGAAAAGCAAGGTTAAAAAGTAATTTAACATGTATCCACTCAAACTATATCAACTATAGATATGTTTTAATACACAACTTGAGCTTACCTTCATTTGGCTTCTTAACAAATTTCACTTCTTGCTCTTCAAACAATTTACAAGCGGCATCTACATCTGGGACAGCAATTCCTATGTGACCTACAAATAGGAGATATACATGTCCTGTTAATATTCTATTGATTATCAGTTGCATTATATTATAATTAGATTATGTTTTTGTCTTCTTACCAAAGCCCCGTGGGTCTGAATTTCCATTGTGATAAGATGTAGTCTCATCAGATTCAGAGCCCCAATTACTAAAGTAAAATCAAGGTAATACTTACTTGAAAAATGTATAACTTAAAACAAAAAAGGAAAAAAAAATTAATGTGATGACTGACTGTGTAAGCTCGATGGTGGCTCTTCTGGAAAATGTCCAGCATGTTCTGTCTTTCACATCAGTAGGAATCTCCTTTGGGTCCTCGTAGCCCAAAAAGAACAGAGAGAAACGCATGGAGGGGAAGTCAAACTTTTGCAGGAGCCTGAAACATTTGGCACATCAGAGAGAAAAGGCTAATTTCAGTCAGGTTTATGGGCAGGTCTTGCATTTACAGTAGCATCAACATAGTCAATATTTAGTGCTTATGAACTTATTTTGTTAAAAGAAAACTTTGCCAGAGTATGTGTGAACTTAAGCATTGTGATTTTTTTTTTTTGAAAAGAATTTCTGTTCTAAATGCCAGACACTAGGGTGGTAATGTGTGCAACACATATGTGCAACATCTTAAACCCCTACATCACGTTCTGAAAGTATTTTCTGTGAAAAGCAAACTTACGTCATGCCAAGGATTCTGGTGTAGAAATCCAAAGACTTCACTGGATCTTTAACACGGAGCATAGTCTGCTGCATCATAAAATCCTGGATGATTAAAAAAGACAATATTAAAACAACATTAAAAGATACAAAACTAGAGAAAATATAGTCCTGGGTATTAAAATGTGCCTACAGAACGTAATAATTCGAGTGGTAATGGTAAGAAAAACATACCACCCACATTATTGCCAGTTCTCAAACATTTTAGAATCTGCTGGTTATTTCATGATGTCCATGATAAAATATTCAGTTTTAAATAACAGTTAAACAACTAGGCCTAAAAGAGTGACAGAAGTGAAAAATAGCAATCATGGTACAATCAGTCCAAATTTTTTCATTTTAGCTACATTTAGAATGTAGAGTAATCCTAGATCAATCAATAGATCCACGAGATCAATGCAGTTGTGAAAATCTGCAGACCAACTGCAGATTTGGCACACACAGGAATGCAACGTGGTTGACACGGGCACTTTGGCATGATGAAAAGGTGGTGTGGTGAGAGACATTGCTTTCTACTCCAGTGTGCGTTTGAATAGCTTATATTGGCCTATTCATACCGAATCTTTAAAAAAAATGGATGCTATTGGAGGCTATTCTCCGTAGCTTTGAATGTAATCCCCGTGCTCTAATATGCCTTGCCGCACCTAAAACACTTTTCTGGAAAGTGCGTTACGCACAGGCATGCTGCATGATAACTTGATAAGTCCGACGCAGCTCGTTTTTTTTAAGAGATCTTCTTGACCAAGTAAAAATCCACATGGGAAAAGTATAACTTCCATTTGATACAAGTTTTACAACTGCTTTACCAAAACGTTTTGGTAAACCACTTACCATTGTGTACGTAGCCTAATAGACTCGGTTATTAAATAGACCATAGAAAATAGAAAAAACAACTATATTAGATGTAAAGTTAAACGATGGCAACTTGCCTTCACCGAGCCCTGACAGCGGGTTTGGCCTGTGCAAGTAGCTGCACGGTCTAAGTTCACGAATGCTAATCTGCAATGGTCGTACAGGGCTCCTACCTTTGTTATTGCGTGCCCCTCTTGGCACGCCGCCGCTGCTGCCTCGTCTGACAGTCCTTTGTCGCTCATTTTGATTAAAGTGGTGTTGGTTATAATCGCCACTCGGCAACACTTCACTGCTCACTGGGCGCAGCGCAGGCGAGTGTTGCACTTGAAGCTGAGCTCTGTCTCTGCCTGTCACTTCAAGGTCCTCATCCGGCTCTGGCTTTCATAATAAAAGCCCATCTCCTGCGAGTTCCTGAATTGTATGTATTAACACCATAGATCTATTAATATAACACACCTGGATCATTATTTTACATTTTGTTGTAAACGAAATATTTATTTAATAAACAGCTTTTTAAAAGAAACTGGTCCATTGTTGGGGTTCAAAACCGATGGAGCAAGCAACAGATTTTGTTTTTATTGTTGAAATATGTCTGACATGCACGACCCAGTGGGTATTTTTCAAGTCCCAGGATCCTTCCCCCCAAAGATCACTTTGTAGCACTCCTCCAGAGTTTGCTCCTCCGAAGCAGAGCCAAGTGTCCTGCTCACACATAGAACTAGAATAAAATCTTATTATAGATCCATGTGCTCACAGCTCCTGGAACGCACCCAGAGCGCACCTGGAACAGGCTCCAGAGGAAGCAGCTGCACCGTGTCACGTCACGTGACCAGATTAAACGGTGGGTGTGTGTGTGTGTGTTCAGTAGTGTTTTTAATGTCAATATGCATTAAATCCTGTGAATAATAAAGGCTGAGTGAGTCACCCGTTATAGTTATTTAGGCTGATAAATTTGCCTAAATAAATGCCGAAACATTTTCAGATAATAGGCTAATTTTATTCCCAATCCCTTTAAGAGACTTTGCTGCATTTGTCCTGATTTTATTTCACTCCATCTAATAATGGCGTTATCTGCAACGATGTGGCTAAAATAGTGAGATATTTCTAACACTGTTAAAAGCTCAAAATTATTTTTAGTGTAAGATGTTACGGTGTAATCTGCAAATTTCAACCCACACCCATTTTGCCAGTCAATTGCAATTTCTGATTGTTAAACGAAGGGCAAAGATGACGGAGGGTTACATTTAGGCCCGTGTACATAATGTGTGAATAAAATAACATGTTTAACTTAAAAAAAAAAAAAAAAAGCCAAAACTCAGTAATACTGTGTAAATTACTTTAATGGGGGGAGGGGGGGGGGACCTATGGTAAAGGTGAATGGCATATCATCAGCTAAATGAGATGACTGAAAAGCACTTGAGTACCTGAGTTATATATTTTTTTGTCATATATCTATAGTTAAGTCTACTTTAAAATGACATTTAATTATAAAGGTCTTCCATTAATGCATTTTAACACACAGCATTACATAATTAAACAGCACAAAGATGGTATCCCAATGCTATGTAAATTCTGAATTACTCAGCCATCAGTGGGATTAGAAAAGAGGTTAAAGGAAAGTGTAGTATGGCATTAAATAATAACTAAATATTACATGACACTGTCTCCAATCAGTGTCAGAATTCTCACAGTAAAGACATGAGAAAAGAGGTACATAGAGTTTGGAAAAAGCCCTTTGACTTGTAGCAGCAGGGCAGTTTTTAGTAGCTGCGTCCAAACAGCGTATAGTACTTGGCAGGCTCTTTGCCACTGACACACACTTGGCCAGGCTGAAGGGTCTTCAGAGGGGAAAAGGGGATGCAGAGGCTCTTGGCTCCCATAGATGGAGCTCCAGGCTCAAGATCCTGGTCCCTGTTGTAAAACACAATTGAATGTCAATCTATATCAAATCAATTCAGCAAAAGGGCTGTAAATGGTGTAAGGAATACTTTGCAGTGGTTTTCTTGATCCAGTCTTCACACTCAATTTGTCCACAGAAGGGAATTTGGACAATCTACAGAAAAAGTTTTACAAATAAATATGTATATGCCATAACTAAATTATGCATATTTGTGCAACATAATTTTATGCAGAGCTACTCACCTTTCCTTGGTCCAACTCTTTCTGAAATTCCTCCATAGTGTCAACAGCTACCATGTGAGTGTTCAAGTCATCTGATGCTCTGCAAACATGTCAAATCAAAATAAATTTTCAATCATTCACAATTTCACTGTCTAGGCTTATTGAAGTCCAGTTAATGTATAATAAAAACTAAAAAAGATAACTCAAATAGTCAGGCCAAAAGTGAATGCTTTAAATTCACAGAAGCATATCTTACTTCTTGTAAAGACAGTTTTGAATCTCTTCCAAAAGAGCTGGTATCCTCTTTTCCACCTCAGCATCTGGAATGGTCAGCTTTTCACCATTGTCTCTCCTCACAGCCACACACTGGCGCTGCTGCATGTCTTTGGGACCAACTTCTAAACGGATTGGGACTCCCTGAAAAATTCCAAAACAATACATATTTCTCCATTCCATTTCTTAATGCCTCAATAAAAGACAATTTGAGAGTAATGACCTTGAGCTCCCAGTGGTTGAACTTCCAGCCAGGGGAGTAGTTTTCTCTGAGGTCAGTCTTCACCCTGACACCAGCATCCAGCAGCCTGTTCATGTATTTAGAACACTGCGCCAACAACACGTCCTTCTGCTCCTCTGAGAGAGAGGCAGTCACACCACAAGGGATGACCACAACCTAGAACATAACACATTTGTTCATGAACTCTACAAGGTTGTATTTATTCGTTTTTTGTTTTTTTTAATTATCTGAGCAGTTTGGAGTGTACCTGTAGACAGGCAACCCTCGGAGGAAGCACAAGCCCCATGTTGTCACCATGGACCATGGTCATGACACCAATGGTCCTGGTGGTGATGCCCCAGGAGTTCTGGAAGGCCAGTTGCTTCTCACCTGGATTTTTGGGATCTTCAAACATGATTTCAAACATTTTAGCAAAGTTTTGACCAAGATGATGAGAAGTAGCACCCTAGAATGGAGGTTAGTGATTAGAACACAGCCAAAAAAAATATTTTATTATGATCCTACAATTGTAAAATATTTGATATTTGATCAAACCAATCTGTTTAAAAAGTACCTGAATGGCTCGACCACTCGCAGAGATGAAAGCCTCAACAGTGGTGGTGTAATCTCCCCCTGCAAACTTCTCCTTCTCAGTTTTTCTTCCCTTCACGACTGGAATGGCCATTAGTTCCTCATAGACCTTGGCATACAGGTCCAAAATTTGTAGCACCTAGAAAGATTACAAATGTTTTAACATATATATTTATGTTCAAATGGAATTCAACAAGATCAGGGGACAGGCAGAGCATTACTTCTTCGGCTGCTTCCTCTTTGGTGGCAAAGGCAGTGTGACCTTCTTGCCACAAAAACTCTCTAGTCCTTAGGAAAGGCTGGGGATGTTTGAACTCCCATCTCTAAAAACATAACAAAAGGACAATGTTTTAATTGTCAAGACACATAACCCAAAAAGAGATTTGAAAAAAAGTACTAACCACAACATTACACCACTGATTGAGTTTGATTGGTAGGTCTCTGTGGGACTGGACCCATTTAGCATAAGCTGGGTACATCACTAAAACCAAGGGCAAACAAAGAATAAATCAAATAAAAAAATCAAAATACAGTGTGAAACTATAGACAGACTAGACAAGAACATAAGGTGATGCAAGTACCTGTCTCACTGGTGGGCCTGACAGCAATGGGCTCAGCCAACTCAGTCTTTCCTGACCTCGTCACCCAGGCAACCTAAGAGAAGGCACAAATATAAAAACTATACAAAAACCATAAAAATACATTTTAGTGCTTCTAATATGCAGACTCTACCTCGGGGGCAAAGTCTTCAATGTGGGTCTTTTCCTTCTCGAGGGCTGCCTGAGAGACAAACATGGGGAAGTAGCAGTTTTCCACACCAAGTTTCTTTATTTCCCGATCGAAATAGTCCTTGATGGCCTCCCAGATGGCAAAAGACCATGGTCGAAGCACATAGCAGCCGCTGACATCATAGTACTCAATCATCTCTGCTTTGGTGATGACCTGGCAAGGAACAGTTTAATAAATTAAAATACATGTTATTATTGGAAAATAATGTCAGCAGGGATAAACAAATTTTGCAATGAGAGACCTCACCTGAGAATACCAGTCAGCCAAATTTTCCTCTTTCTTAGCCTCAAGACCCAATCTGTTGAAGAATAATTTATTTAGAAAGTTTGCGATCAGTAAGTACAAACTTAGAAAAACTTTTAATCAAATACATGCCAGGTGCCAGTTTAAAATAAAAAAACTAGTCACATTTTCACATACATTCTTGCATCACATAGCCATTACAAGTGAGCTTGTGCATCATGCATTCAAACTGTCAGCAAAATAATAGACGTAGAATATTTGCCTGGACAGGTAAATGGATAATCCTTATTAACAGTGCAATTTCACAGACTAGCAACAAGGAAAAGCTGTAATTTTCACCTCAGTCAAAATATTTCTAGTAACTACAACTTCAGAAGCCGTGCTATCAGGTTTTTCAAACATGACTACAACTCGGAAGGCAAACTGAACAGTCAGGCAAGTCACTCGACACTCACCAACTCCATGACTTTAAGATTGAACAGCTTCACCAGAATCTTCATTTTCCGTCTTCCATAAATTGTGCCAAATTCCATTTTCAATCAACTCAAATGACAACCTCAACTCAGTATTTTAGGTAATTTATTTTATTGAGAGCTGACTAGACCCATTTCAGTGGTTCAATTATTTGTTCACCAAATACACAATAATGCAATTACTAAATTAATAAGGATTATCATTTAACCAAAAGTCATCCCTTTTAAACTGACCAAATTTCACACTTTTTTTTTGTCTGTTCATCAATCTCTCACCGTGTCTGCTTCTTGGGCCCTTGGCCCTCTCCTCCTCCTGCTCCCCCCGCTGCCTCTTTGCCCTGGCTGGGCTTGTCTCCTTTGCCCTTCTTTCCACCTCCAGCTCCTCCAGCAGCCCCCTGTTTTTCAGATTTGTTTTCCTTCTCTTTGCGACTCTTGTTTTCACCACCAGATGCACCTGCTGCTGCCATTGGTTTGTACTCCTGTCCTGTCAGTGCCTTGTACTTGTTCTTTAAATCCAACAAAGTTTTCACGGCCTCGTCAACTTGCTCCTAAAATTGACAATACCGGCTTTAAGTACTTTTCTCCCCCTCTGCTGCATTCTTTTTAAGAAGGAATGGCTTCTCACCTTGGCTGCTTTTTCAGACTTCAGTTTTCGCACCACCTCTCCCTGTTGTGCAACCCGTGCATACAGCTCCTCTGCCTGTGGGGACTGAGCAGACTGGGTTGGGGGCTGTGGCTGGGCAGGGCTCACTGGGACTTGTACTCCTGGTTTATAATCCTGTCCAGTCTGTTGTTTGTACTCTGCCTTTAGAGTCAACAGCTGTTTAACCGCAACATCCACCTGATCCTAATAAAAGAAGAAACAAATGCTTATTCACTGTGGAAGAGCTACAGTGAAATGCAATTGTAATGACTTTACTTTTGGAGCTTTTTCAGACTTCAGTTTCCTGACCACCTCTCCCTGCTCAGCCACCTTTTCATAGAGGCCTGCTGCAGAGGGAGCAGAGACAGGCATACTCTGAACAGGGGCGGGGCTCTTCTGAGCAGGGGCAACTCCAGGTTTGTAGTCCTCACCCGTCATCTGTTTGTATTCAGCTTTGAGTGCAAGGAGCAGCTTCACTGCTGCATCTATTTGATCCTAGAAAAGTTTGAAAGACATTTTAAAAAGAAAAATATATGTCCAATAGAGTCAAAACGTAAAAATGCCAGCCCAGAAATTTGCAGTGGTGATTTTGACTGACATACCAGTACATGCAAAATTGTTTTATTTGAAACTTAAAGCTGCGACTATACTACATCAAAATACCTTAGGAACTTTTTCAGCTTTGAGCTGCCTCACCACCTCTCCTTGCTGTGCGACACGCTCATACAGGCCAAAAGAGGCGGAAGATGAAGAGAGGGCTGAAGAAGAGGGGGTGGGGGATATAGGGGCCATCCCTGGTTTATACTCCTGACCAGTTTGGTTTTTAAACTCTGCTTTCAGAGCCAGCAACTGCTTCACTGCAGCGTCTATCTGGTCCTAGTGCCATTAAAAAAAAGCATTTCTTTAGTTGAAAGCCCTAATGGTCAATTTAACTGGCATGCCAATGTGTGGATGACAAAAGACAAAATGTGGTGGATACGTGACATGGCAATTCAGAACACAGAGTATGAAGACAGATGAAAAGACCGCGCTAACACAGCATACACATAACACATTGTAGAAAATACAAACGGTATCAGATGGGCAGAACTACCATACAAGACAAATGAAGAATCAACTTATAATTTATTTAACAATTATAGTAGTTAATGTAGCTACCTTAGGAGCCTTCTCTGCCTTCAGTTTTCTGACCAGCTCGCCTTGCTCAGAAACACGTGTATATGGACAGGTGGAGGAGGCTGTTGCTACAGACGATGGTGCAGACGATGGTGCTGGGGTGGATACTGGTGGAGTCATGCCAGGTTTGTACTCCATGCCAGTCACCCGCTTAAATTGTGTCTGCAAAGATAAAACAGTAGTAGGAATTCATTCTTAAAGGTTTATTTTAAAATGTAGTTAAAGCGGTACCTTCAGAGCCAAGAGCTGCTGGACAGCCTTGTCCACTTCTTCTTTTGGTGCCTTATCAGTCTTTAACTGGCGCACAGCATCTCCCTGAGCCACAATGCTTGAGAACAGATCACTGGCTGAAGCTGTAGCAGGAGCTGGAGCTGCTGGAGATTGTGAGGCTGCCTTGGCAGTGGAGGACTGAGAGCAATTTAAAAACAATGACATTTACTACATTAGCACTGTTCATGTTGGTGCAGGTTACACAAATACAGCATGTAATATAAAAGCTGGTGTACCCAACTTTTCTTGTTAAAAGTTAAAATCAAGTACACCACAAGTCCAAATTCATCAATTGTATAACAAATGTTAAAAAATGCTTTCTTACTGTATTGTTTGAAGTCTGACTCTTGTTCTTATCCTTTGCCCCAGCCGTTGGCATTTCCTTCGTATGACCATCAGGAATATAGAAGAGGACACAGGGGCTCTCCTTGCAGCTGTTGGGGCTATCAATGTGCATAGTAACTGTTAAGTCAGCTTTGAACAACTTTGAGTCAATTAATGAAGCACTGTCCATTTCCTTTACCTGACTGGCTCATATGGCTGGTCACAAATGTAAAAGCCACGTCTCTGGAGCTGTATAATGTCTCCTTTTTTTAGGTTCTTCAGACAGGGGTCTCCAAGCATCTTTTCCTCAGACTATGGCATTACATGGATAAAATTAAATACAAATCAGAGAACTAAGGCAGTCCCTGAACAACATAAACATAGGATGTCTTCCAACAAACCTTGCTATTCTTGTTGATGTAGTCCTTAAAGTCGTCATCTTTGCCCAAGACTGCTTTGGTGATTATAGGCTGGTAGGCGACACAAACTGTGGGCAACAGAGGGGTGCTTTTTGTTTCAGCAAGCCAGGTGATCTTTGCAGTCTTCTTGTAGTCTGTATTCTCAAGGTTCAGGCGAGCCTCCATGGACAGAACCTTCCCATCAGTGGCTCTGAGTGAGAAAGTTCAGTGCTTACAGTGGCCACAGGAATACTGTATTAAATATTTTACACAATCCATACTTGTTAATCTTTGTGATGATGAGGTTGCCCCAGTTAATGAAAGTTACCACCTCGCCCTCAGAGAATGTTTCAGCATCTGCTCCTTCAACCAAAACCCGCGGCCCATACCAAACTTCCTTCATTCCTACATCAGCATTCTACATACAAACAGAGTGATAAAAACCCATCCTTCAACAAATCTGCATTAGGTAACAGTAAAAGTTCAATGGCTGACCTTGGGATGTTTTGGAACTTCTTTCTTCCCCTCCGTGGCTCCGGGGATGGACACAGGGACCACATATGAGCTGGACAGGGCTGTGTACCTGGGAGCTACTGGATCAATAACCTAACACATACAATTAAAAAAGTGAGTCAGAAAAGTAATCATCAAATTACATGCATAAATCAAAGGGAATACATCAAAACAAATGATACAAATGTTTAGCCATATATATGTAACAAAACAATCTAATCATAAAGGAGAACATAAATGGAAATTCATGATGATACAAGCTTGTGTACAGCAATAAAAAAAATCTCTTTATTGGAGACTAAATTATAGCCTTAATCCCTTTACCTAAATATGATTGCAAGTATTATTTATGGCAGTCTGCTTGGCTTATAAAAGAAAGAAAATGCACCCATGGACATCAAACAAAATAAGACAATGAAAACAGTGGGGACATTTTGGGAGAAAATTGGAGGGCAGATGGAGTACCTTCAGACAGCTAATTGGCAGCTTGGAAACACAAGAGTGAGATGCTATTTAATGGAAGGGGAGACAACAGAGGAAGAGACATGTCTCAAGTGAATGGACCACTAAGATTTTGGAGTCTCTTGTGCATTACTAAACAGTGAATAGTGAATTCAACTGTCTGAAGAAAGCATGTTATAGGTGGCCAACATGCATGTTAGATTTATGGCACAGGAGTGACATTTTTATTCCATCAGCTTTAAAATATAATTTTTTGAACAGATGGGCAAAGCAACATATTCTAGCAATGACACCAATAAACATAAACAATGATTCTTACATTCATGCCAAAAACAAAGTTAGAAAAATAAATGTAATGGTGATGCCATTTTGTTAATGATGGTCAGCTGACAAGGACAGTACAGCAGAAGAGGTGTCCAAAAGCAATTTAACCAGCCAAGCAGAGCCATTCCAGATGTAATGGACGCTACAATATCAAGAACACTTAAAACAAAGTGTACCTTTTTATTGAAGGCCCAGATCTTGTCCCATTCCATGTTCACCACAGATCTGGAGCCACCCTTGATGAAACAAGCCGTGAAAATGTTTAAGAATAAATACATTCAAAAACAAATGTGGGCCAAAGTAGACCACAATTTAAGAATTGTGGAGACACACCTGAGCGGCTATAAACTGTTTCAAGCCTTCCACAGTCATTCCTCTCCTAAGCACTCCTCTCACTGTAGGGAAGCGGGGGTCATCCCTGTTTAAAACATTGGAGCAGTGGTAGAAGAAAAATTAAAAGAATTTACCTCACCTGAGCCTGAAATATATGTATGCTTAAAGCTTACCATCCATCAACATAACCCTGGTCAACAAACCAGGTGAGTTTCCTCTTGGATAAAACCGTGTTGTTGAGATTAAGTCGAGCATACTCCCAGATGTAGGGTTTCCTAATTCCCAGAGCATTGATAAACCAGTAGTATTGTTCATCACGGTCATGGTACTCTGTCGTCCTGAGAGCATGGGTCACTCCTTCCACACTGTCCACAATTGGGCATGCAAAGTCGTATGTGGGGTAAACTCTGCAGAAATAAGATAAGGTGTCCAATATTTGCTTAAAAAAAGAAGCAAGTTATACAGTATCAACAAAGTCAACTACTTATAAGTGCTTTTGGTGCGGGGGTGCGGTGTGTTCTTGCAACGGTAAAGCGTAGGGTCTCTCAAGCAACCATTGTTTGAGTTCATGTCCATCTTGGCCCTCATGCAGCAGGTCTGCCCATATTCTGTGCCCTCTTTCATCTCAGACCACATTTTCATGTTCTGCTCCAGAGCTGTAGAAGACAGAACACCATAAACCAATATGTTCCACTTTCATCACGAGTGCACATGATTGCCTCTCACAACATACTGTTGTTACGGCATTTTGACTCAATGCGCTGCTCTCTCTCCTGTTTCATCTGCTCTGGAGGAGTGTCATCAATGTATGCCTTGCCCTCAGCAAGAAGTTTCTCAGCATAGCGCATTATAGCAGGGAAATGATCACTGGTGTAAGTGAACTGATCTGGTTTGATCTGGAGCATGGCAACGTCTTCCAGGATGACCTTAAAAAAATAAATATATATATATTTATTTATTTTTTTTACATTTTATCTTGAAACAGAATAAAATAAAAAAAAATTTTGCTCCAACCTTCTCAAAGTCCTCTTTTTCCTTCTCAGGATTAGTGTCATCAAACCGCATGATGAGCTTGCCTTTGAAAGTCACCTGGTAATGTTGATTAAGCAGAGCAGCCTTAGCATGGCCAATATGCAGATAGCTACACAGAAAAATAGGCAAAAGCATAAAACAGGCGTTAAACTAGTGTAATTTCATAATATCCCAAATTCAGAATATCCTTATACTCTGGCCTTACCCACTGGCCTCAGGAGGGAAGCGAACAACAACATTTCCCATTTCAGCTCCTGGCAATTCAACAAACTTTCCAAGATCCTGCTTCTTTTCTTTCTCCAAAGACTGAAAACAACAGAAAAATAAATTAAACTGGTTATGTACTTACATTCATATTTTTTTAAATATATTTTAAACATTTATTAAGAATGATTGTCATAATAATTCCTATATTGATTATATCATTCAGTACATGACAGATGAAATAATTATTTTTGAGGGTGAATATTTACTGTGAATACTTTTTGTACTAAGTTCAGTTTTTTAAGATAAAGTTTTATTTATATAGTGCTTTTCACAGACATATGTCACAAAGATAATTTATAGAGCATTATTCATTCACTACATACATGGTAAACTACTATTGTAGCCACAGCTGCCCTGGGGCAAACTGACAGCAGAGTAGCTGCCAATCAGCGCTATCGGTCCCTCCGACCAGTCATGCATACACCACTTTCACACTAGCGGGTAACATTTTTATTTCTGTACTACGAGCTGAGCTATGGAGGGTTGAATAAATAACTTCAATAAATCATTAAGCCCTGCATTTATTTATTGCAGCTCATGTTCATTAACAAGACCAGAACAGTTTTTATAGAAATCTTGCTTATGGTTATTGTGTCAGTGTTATAATGCCATTCAATATATTGTTTATAGTCTATATTTTCCTCAGCAATATATATCATACTTCAAAATGTATTATCATGAAAGGGCTATTAAATAGCATTCAAATCTAAAATGCACTTACACTGGATCGGGCTTCTGGGGCTTTTTTACCGACATACTTATTGCCCACAGATGAAAAAGGGATCTGTGCATTCAGGAAAAAGAACCAGCGATTGATGTGGGTGAACATTTTTCCCTTGCTTGGCCAATCTCTATGACCTGAAACAAAACTTAGAACTTGTAGTGCAGCATTTCAAAAGCAATAGGTTATGCAATTTACATTCCAATACATTATATAGGTCACACACCTTTAAGAGCAGCCCAGACAGACAAGTCAGCCAGAGTGAGTGAATGTCCAACCAAGAAGGTCCGCAATGATAGGGCCTTGTCCAACTCACTAAGGGCTGCAGACAAATCTGACTGACCACTCAGACGACGAGCACTGAACTCCAACCAATGATCAACCTGAAGAAGAAAGTACACAATATTAACATTTATTTAAGAAGAATAATCCACAATGGTGGACATAGATCCATCATTTACTTCAGTCTGCTCCATCATGTTGGCTCCATAGAGGCCAAAGGCTGGAGCTACACGAGCCAAGTAGCGACTAATGGAGTTGACATCATTGAACTGGATAGAGCTAAAAAGTGACACAATGTGAGCTGCAAAAATCTTACTTGGTATATAAAAATATGTAGCAATAATCATTACTCACTCTGATACATGAAGCTTTGTGTCTTTGCCTTCCTCCACTGACAGTTGGACAGTCCCTTTCACATGTTCTGCAGCCAGGAGAGCACCTTTGGATAAGAGATGAAAATGTGACGAACATATCTGATACTGGAAATCAGCTGACACAGTAAAGCACTTTTGTTACTATATTATGACACATAGGGCCTGGGAAATCCATCCGTAAATTTGCCCTTGTGTCACTATATGTTTTTACTAAAATGCTAAATGCTAAAATTTCAAACTCTATTTCAATATTAAGGAATAGACAATATTAAGGAATACTCAACAAATTTTAATACTGCAAGAATACATACAAATAACTCCTGCATGCAATGCAATGCAATCTCAAGAATAGGGCCAAAGTTTTTAAGAGTAAAAATATTAGTACATAATGGTACATTTTTACCACTCTTGGTACTCTTGGTAAGTCAATCAATTTAAATGAAGCTGTCTGCTGTTAACTAATGGAACTTGAGGACCCTCTTGAAAACAAGATGATGCATCACAAGGAGTAATTCCTCCAATAAACAAATGTTAAATAAATAAAAACCTAAAAACATAGCACCATTACACTAAAATGTTACAATGAAAGTGTAACTTTGTACATATCAAATTGCACCTTGTTTATTTAAAAAAACAAAGAAGAAATTATAGTTTGGCAGAAGTTCAACCAATATCAACATTTGGTTTCAGGGAGCTTGCATCAGCCAGCTGACCCAGTTCAGCCAAAGAAGTGCTACAACTGGAATGACTCCTTTGCTTACAAGTAAACCTTACAAAAACCCACTTTATTTGCCACATTAATATACATGTCCAAACGTTTTTGTTTCGTAGAACTGCATCACACAATTAAAATCACTCTAAAAAAATCCACGGCTTGAGCCTTCATATCCACGGTATCCTATCGTATTTTGATAAATTAAACTTGATTGCTTGGCACGTTTGCATGGTGCTCATGTTGTGTTGCAGCGACTATAAATACATTTTTCGTGTGCGTAATGGTTGGAAAATACGACCAAAGACATGTATGCACAGTAGCCCTGGTTATGACAGTGCCACGACGGCATTCATCTTAGCTAGGCTAGCCACTGACTGAAAGCCGGTTCGCTAGTTAGCTTCAAAGTAGCATTTATGGAATATTACAACACTTCCAAAATGAATTATTAGGAATCCAACAATATTCTTAATTATATGTTCTAATGATACTGTTGTTTTAATAATCTGCAACACGAGTGTAAAGAAGTGAACGCTGGCGTGCATGCATCTGCAGAAGTTGGTGGTTGACACGCTGTCATGCTGGGACTCATGCTAACAACTACTAGCAGGGAAACTAAACTCTTGAACGAGAACAGTGGACGGTGTGAATAGTGAACAACTTACCCAAAGGAGGGTTGCTCGGATTGATAGTTAGATTTAACGCCATGCTGTGATGTTGCTCTAGACAGGATATAAGACACTGGCCAGCAAAAGTCTGCAGAAAGACCAAAGCTTCCTCGCACACACCCACAGAGAGAGCAGACCTGAAAGACCAAGTCCCCAACGTGCTCGCTCCTCCGGCTTCACGCCATCTATCGGGCAAGAAGTCAACATGGATAAAACATCGTGAAAGAAATGTGGATTTGAAAAAACAAACAAACAAACAAACAAACAAAAAAAAAAACAAAAAAACGTGATAAACTAGCCAAATAATCAACTAAATTAATTATTTAATTAGTGGTGTGTGAATGCAACGTATTAATTTTTAATTATTTAAATCTTTAATTAATAGTTCATTCATTAATAATAATATAATGAAGACAGACAAAACGGTGCCCTCTCAAAAATGATAATATAAAATAATAATACATATTTAATTAAAAATCCAATCGAATTGCTTTGCTTTGAAAACATCCTTTCTTCTTCTTTCCTTTCCTTTCCTTTCTCTTTATACAGATTCAGTTACATATATATAAACATGAAAGCCTGTTCACCTGCATTCCGTATTACCATTATTATTTTGCTTTAATTAAACACAGTTACTTTATTTTCTGTTTATTTGTTTTTGTTTTTTTTCCCCTCACGTCTCCACGCCGTAACACGTGGCGGCGATAGTGCACCAAATAGTTTAGCGCCAAGAAAAACACCACCACGAGGAAGATCCCTTGCTCTCGTTGCTTTTGTTTTGTATTGTGCAGGTTTTGTGCACTTCATAGTATCTTTTTACTAAAGCGAGGTAACAATCTCGTTTCCCAGAGTAAAAACGAAAGCAAAGAAGTAACATCTTTCTGCAGGTGTTTTTGCACGAATCCACGGCATTGCATCTTGCATAATCCAGACAAGTAAGTGAAGATTTTCACTTACTGATGGGCAAAACTTCATGCAGTCAGGTTGATTTGACAAAATGCACAAAATTAAAGATGCACTATGTAACTATGGGGAAGTGTACAGCACCTCAATTGTCTCATGTTTCACAGTATGGCATTAATCGTGCATATGTATTAATTTGCACATGTTTGCTCTAAAATGCCTTTGAAAAGCTTGCATGAGATAAATAGGCTTAATGCCATACCGTGGAACATTCTGGGGAAAGCATTAGATTGTAAGACTAGCAGATCATGACTGACCCTCAAAAAAGCACCTTTAAGTTATCAGACGTCACAGAAAACTTGGGAATAGTAACTTTTTATGATCTGTGTTTTTCACTTAGTAGGCTATGTCTCAAGACAGTCAGCATGGCAAGTGGAGCATCTCAAGTAGTGAAGATGAGGACGAATGCCTTCCTCCTTCTGGAACCACAACAAAAAGTGCCAAGACCATGTTTTTGCAGTCTCCATCACCCCCTAAAACAGACTTAGTTTCTGCCATAGGTGAAGTTAAACCTGAACAATGTGACTCTTCCATATCTACACTTTTTATTGGATCTGAGGCCAGAAAGTCTGCTACCTCAAACCAACTAAACCCTGTCAAGTTTGAAACCAGTCCATCGCTGGCTGGAAAGAGGAAGAAAGAGGTGCCAGAGGGGTCAGGGTGGGCTCTGTCTGATAGTGATGATGATGATCTTCATGTTAAAAAGAAAACAGTCAACAATAATTTTCCCAAGAAAGAGCATTCAAGCCCTCAAGCCAAAAAGCAGAAGGCAGCAAATGAACGCCCACCCAGTCCCCATGGTCGAGTGTACTACATAGATGAGCCAGAGGACTTTTTTGAGTCCACTTTGCCCTGTCTAAATGATACCTATGGCTTCTACCTCAACAAAGTAACTGGGCTGGACGAAAAGTACAACAATGGCGCTCTGCATATCAGAGGTGAGTGAGTATTATTTTAGCCTTAAATAAATCATTTGCCATGAATGATTAAGCAGTGCATTATGCCTTTTTATGTATTTTTAGACATCCTCTCACCGTTGTTTGGAACTTTGAAGGAATCTGTTCAGGTAATTATATTTATGTTTAGAGGTGGTGATATATTGAAAAATGTATAATATTGTTAAGGTTATTTTGGAGATATGCAAAATTTCAAGAACATATAGACCATAAAACTAATAAAAAGGCTGCAAAAAGAGCAGATAAAGAATAAAAATCAAACTAACCTGCTGTGCAATATTCCAAACAGTGGTATAAAGTGATATTTATGAACATTTTTGGGAAATCATTTTACAGTCTATTCATGTTTTGTGCAATACTTGAAACTCAACCAACTTTTACAATCTTGATAGATAGCCAGAATATTGTCATATAGGTAATACATAGTTTATGTTAATATCACCTACTCCTAATGATGTTATAACTTATTCTGCTCAAATCGAAAATGCTTATGTCTTATCATTGTATTTTTTCCCACAAAACAGTTCAACTACTGCTTTGATGTAGCTTGGATGGTTGAGCAATACCCAAAGGAGTTCAGGTAAATTGTAATAATAAAAAAAAAAAAAAAAAAAAAAAAAGAACATGGCAAAAGGCATGGCGTTGAGAAATGATCATTTTTATGCATGTTTACAGAGACTGTCCTGTTCTCATCGTCCATGGAGACAAAAGAGAGGCCAAAGCTCGGCTTGTCCGTGATGCTCAACCCTACCCTCATGTTAAATTATGCCAGGTAAAACTCCACATTTTATAACAACCCTTTGGATTTTTTTTTTTTTTTGCATTTCACAACCTTTCTTAATATTTGTAGGCTAAATTGGATATTGCATTTGGAACTCACCACACGTAAGCCTTTCAGGAAAAATCTATAGTAAAGTTTGTTTTAATATGTGCGTTGCATATCTGCATAGAACAGTTCTATTTTGTACATGTATTTATTTGTGTATGATATAGGAAGATGATGTTGCTGTGGTATGAAGAAGGTTTCAGAATCATAATTCTGACATCCAACATGATTAGAGCAGACTGGTACCAGAAAACTCAAGGGTGAGTGTGTTTGGTAGTGGAATTAGTTTTTTTAAAAGCATTGTGTTTTAAAACCATGCTTTTGTCTTTTTTAACATCAGGATGTGGATGAGTCCTCTGTTTCCACGGTTACCAAAGGACAACAGTAATTCAGGGGAGTCACCCACCTTCTTCAAGAGGGATTTGCTTGAGTATCTTGCAACATACAGAGCGCCTGAACTTGAGGAATGGATTCAACGTATCAAAGAACATGACCTTTCAGAGACCAAGTAACTTTAAAGAAGTTAATGCATATATTTTTATGTTATTGTACAATTAAAATAAACTGTCTGTTTTAGAGTGTATTTAATTGGTTCAACTCCAGGGAGATATGTGGGACCAGACATGGACCGATGGGGCCATCTCAGGCTGAGAAAGGTATTGTTTACCTATGGTTTAAAATTACATTAATTTTCTACTGAATATTAATCATACTTTATCATCATGCCAAATAAAGCCTCTAGATAATTAGAATGCTTCAAGTTCAGTGATGTCATATTAATACAGTTATTTATTTTTTTAAGCTTTTGTACGACCATACTACACCTATTCCTGGTGAAGAACGGTGGCCAGTGGTTGGTCAGTTTTCCAGCATCGGATCCATGGGAATAGACAAAACCAAATGGTTGACAGCAGAGTTTCAACGCACATTAACTACTCTGGGGAAGTCCTCTCTCCGCTCAGATCCCCCTCTTTATTTGGTATGTTTATTTGAAATGTTTGCCTCACCATGAAAGTAAATAACTCAGTAATATGCACTGTACTACCTTTTGCAGTTATATCCATCAGTAGAAGATGTGCGGACAAGTTTAGAAGGGTATCCAGGTATGTTTGACTTGTTATACTGCGTTATAAGCAGTATAAATTGTCATATAAATTGTCATATCTTTTGTTTAGCTGGTGGTTCGCTTCCATACAGCATTCAGACAGCTCAGAAACAATTATGGCTTCACTCTTTTTTTCAGTAGGTTTTTGTTCAAGTTTAACATATTTAATTTTTCCACAGTCAAAACAGACAGAAGTATTGACAATAACCATCTCTTTTCAGCCGGTGGAAGGCAGACACAACAGGAAGGACTCATGCCATGCCTCACATTAAGACATATATGAGAGTTTCTCCAGATTTCTCTGAGCTTGCCTGGTATTGCATAACGAGGTATGCATTTTTAGGGTTACTAGCTTAACTTTTAATTTATTTATATAATGACTGTACTGTTGTAATGTTACCAGTCTTTAACCATCTCTTCATATTGTATGTTTAAAGTGCAAACTTATCAAAAGCTGCATGGGGTGCACTGGAGAAGAATAACACACAAATAATGGTCCGGTCCTATGAGCTAGGGGTTCTCTTCTTGCCCTCAGCCTATGTAAGAATCATTCTTTACACACTGTTTGAATGTGAAATAAAGGTATACTGAAATATTGTCTATGCTCAGAATATGAAGACATTCCCTATACAGAGAAATCCCTTTCCTGTTTCTTCACCTTCCACTGGATTCCCTGTGCCCTTTGACCTTCCTCCAACAAGTTACACCTCCAAAGGTATCTGCAGCTTACATCCAACAGTGACCTCTAGTGGGGAATCAGAGTCATTAAACTTATGTAGGATTCTTTATTACAACTTTTTTTCTTCACCCAACTGTTTGTTTACAGATCAGCCATGGATCTGGAACATAGCGTACACCCAGGCCCCGGACACACATGGTAATGTCTGGGTCCCTTCATAAGTGCATTTATGAAGTTCTTCCACTAGACACTAGAAGACTTTTAAGATGGTTAGATGGAGACAGTTATCTGTAAATATGTCCTTTTTCATGTTTAGATTTTTAAGCTACATAGCTTATGTAAAAACTATACTTTTTATAATTTCTGTTTGTTCTGTTCTGTTTAGACGGCATATGTGGATTTTGTACAAATAAACAGTAACCACTTTTAAATGTGTTGAGTTCTGTGCAACATCCTAAAAAGTGACACAAAAAAATCCAATCCATCCATAATTTCATGCAAACTTTGTTATGTCTGTAACAATTGTGGACAAAATGACTTTTCAGCATATTTGTGATAGATCTCACTTTAAAAAGCAACTTATTTTTTTCTTTTTTGTGATTGGAGACATATGGGGTCATTGGGTTTACATAGCAAACACAATGTGTCATGGAGAGTGCTTTGTACTGTATATGCATACAGTATGTGGAATGTGGTGAAGTCAACCCAGTCCATAAAATGCCTCTGTCGGCTTATAGATCCACGAGGCTAACCCATGGGCAACCCTAACCTTTTATTTTTCATTTGTGTTTTTATATGCTACTATTGCAGTTACCTTGTAACACGGCAGTAGTAAGCAGCTTTAAGCATGTTTTGGTAGATTTTCACATAGATGACAAAAGAAACTGCGATTCCCATCGGTCTTTGCGGTATTATATCATGGCGCCTGTCTGCCGGACAAAAGGCGAATGTGTCTGACGGAGGATTGAAACCCAATTAGAAACAGAGGAGACATTTTGGGGGAACTAACTGTGTCCGTCTGGCCCGGTGCCCCGACGAAGAGCACATATGATCCAAAAATAATCTCTAGGGGCCCTTTGACTGGAATATTAAGGTAAGTTTAGTCGATCGGATTCTGCTATAGCGATGTTAGAGCGTAATGTTGCCAGTTTCATTTCCCCGGTATGGAGAACTGAGCCGAAAAGTCCTCAAAAATGGGCTGTGCTCCGCCGCTGTAGTTTGCGTCTTGTGCACAGATTTCCTCCACCTATAGACAGCCTGTTTCGAGTAGGAAAATGCCTTTTTTGAGAGATGCGTGCATATTTAGACGACTGGCGTCAACAATTCACACTTAAATGCCAAACTTTTCATTTGCAATCTGTGCATGCTTTACCTTAGTACATTGCAGCCATCGATGTGTAATATACGCGTATGATATGTAGCATTTAGCTTGCGTGATGCTTTTTTGATATGCTACTTGTTTTCAAAAGAACGGTGTTTGTACGGTATGTTTCAGTGCACTCAATTGAAACATAATATACCGACTACTAGTTCATAATCCATGACCATGCAAACTCAGTCCGGATAAAGTGGACTTTAGCAGAGTTTAGTTAATCACAGTAAACTTTCAGCTACTGACTTTCAATGCCACGTCTAAACTACTGGTGGTTAGCCTGTATGTAGAGCAGACAAACAAATCTGAACTCAAAAATAGCTGTACAAGACGTATGCGGTCTCCTCTCCACATTGAAGTAAATAATTACAGTCTAAAGTGCAAGTGGCCTTATAAAAACCTTGCTTACCTACAGACTGATGTTTTGGAACTTTCTACTGGGGTCAGAGGTCAAGTTCAGAGCAGCACCAGTGAACCCTGAACGTGTTAATAGTTTTACCCAGCAACACCTCCAAAGAGTGAAGGCAGCTGGGAGGACGTGTTCTTAAGGTTTAGTGCCATAAGATCTTAAGTTACAAAGAATTAAGGATTAGTGCAGAGACTGAAGTAGCTATATTAGTTAATGTAGCATATCTGGCTGAAGAATGTAGGCTATAGACCACCAGTTATTGTACAGATAATAGCCTAAGCCTAAACTCCCTTAACCGTAACATTTTTTGATTGTCTGCTTCAAATAGTTTCATATAGTTATCTATATTTTCTATAGTTATAACAAATTATGTTGCCTGTCATCGTTCCATAAAGTTGCAATGTAGTCTATCATGTGTGTCTTAAAGTTTCTAGTCCACTGTCTTGCATCACTGCTGTGTATAATTGGTGATAAACTTGATATGAATACAAACAGCAAGCATAAAGCTGGAATTCTTGGTGCTGTCTGCTCTACTTAAATATGTAAAGTATTCCAAAAATAAAAGGTGCACAGTTAGAATGATCTTGTACGCCCTTATTTCTGCGGGACGATATTGATCTTATGTATCTGCATGAGTCATCCTCTGCAGCACAGACACAAAGTATGGAGTTCAGCTGCCGGAGATGTAAATTTTTCTTGGCATTTTTCCCAAGATGCACACACACACGCACACGCATACACACATACACACAGTCTGTGGACTCCCTCCATTTTGCCGCCTGCTTCATATAAGTGTTGACTTTAGCGTTGCAGTGTGCACATTTTATTACTCTGCCAGCCTGCTTTTTTCTTTGGCTTCACAGAAGACACATGTGATGGCTTATTACATTATATGCTTTTTATAACATTCTTTAGAGGAGAAAAATGCATCACGAGATGTGTATTGAAATGCCAGCTGGATAAAAATGGAAAAACCCAAAGCTCTAAAAAAAGGCATATGATTAAGGCATGCTGCGCACGCACACAGATAATAACTCTATTTGGGTCGCCGACATTTCTATTATAATGAAAGCTCTCTGCACAAGAAGACATGCTGAACATTGTCTGTGTGTAAATCTGCTCCAGGAATCTAAAGGAGGGTCTGCTATTTCTATAGGTTTGTTGCTTATCACATGGTTGAAAAAAATGCTGCATTTCTGACATTTTATTTCAACGCACACTCCATTTGTTGTACTACTACTTGTTCTTCAAGCACATACTGTATTTGTTGCTTTGTGTCAGTTGATCTGAATTTGAGATGTAAGCACAGGGTTCAGGAAAAAAGAGATCTGGTGATTTTTTTTTTTTTACTGGGTTTAGGTTGTTCATTAATGGTCTTTGGTTTTAGCTAACTAGTAACTTGCTGTAATCCTGTTATCTTATGTAGAACATGCTGGCCTTGTGCCCCATCAAGTCTATTGCTCATATCAATCCTAACTCATTATTCTACTGATTGCTGACCCAGCCTTGTGCTGACCTGTCCTTGGAGGAGGTTAGGTCTTATCCTATGTGTTTGCATCATTCCTGTACCTTATGCCTCTTTGTGGGGTTTAAAAACTCTGTATGCATTGTTATGTGTTATGTGTTATGTGCTACTCGACTTTTTTTAGGGCTGCAACTAATGTGACCATTGTTAATTGTTTAATCTAGTTACTTTTTTGGGGTGTGAATACAAGAAGCATAAGAATATAATTATAATGGATGTTTCAACAAAAACACAATGTGTACACTGTACACTGTGTCATTTTTAATATACAATATTATCTCTCTAGCTGAGCATATTTTGGAGTCTGTGTATAGTCCAGATAATGATTATTTGATTAATAAATTAGTGAACATTTTTGAATTATCGCTTTGTGTAGTTCCTGTCCCAGTGTATTATACTAAATATTGCTCATGTAATGTGGCTCTTGTGCGTTGTAGGATGTTCCAGCAGTGTGAGGAGCCTCGGTTCACCATCGAGCAGATTGACCTGCTGCAGAGGCTGCGGAGAACAGGGATCACCCAGGCTGAGGTGCTCCATGCTCTGGACACCCTGGAGCACCTGGACCGGCAGCATGGACACAAGCTCCCACACAAGCCCCCGTGCCACCTCCCTCTTCCCTGTCCTCAACCAACCCAGCTGCGTCTTCATGCTCCATGTCCACTGCCACCCAAACAAGCTTCCCAAACAGCCGGGTCCCGCTGTCCCCCAACAATGCCTTTGATAGCACCTCACCTCCGCTTCCAGTGCCCGTAGCCTCGCCTGTCACCATGGCAGCTCACAACGGCCTGGTGGCTGTGACCAATGGGAAGCTTTCTCCTCCACGCTTTCCCCTTGGTGTGGTTAATGCCAATGTAGTCCCCCCTGTCTATGGCTTTGAAGTGAATGAAGAGGAGATGGATATTGAGGACAAAGTGGAGGATCTCATGAGGTTAGAGCTGAGTGGATAAAAACATTGATGTTGTATTCCCTTTTGCTTGGTCATAAATTCTTTCAACCACAAGTTTAGTTCAAATTGTCTTCAGTAAGCCAAACTAAATTCAGTATGAGGAGGAACAAGTGTCATATGAAAACCACTGGCCAAAATAATGAAACAATAATGAATAATATTTTCTATTAATTTCACTAAAACCTTCTCAAAGGCTGGAACTACATTGTTGAGCCGTGATCTTTCTCTGAATCTAAATATGATTATGGCTTACACATACACAGTTTTTTCTCATTTGTATTCTGTAGCCAGACGGCTGCAATCAAAGTAGTATTGATTTGAGAGTGTGTGAAGATGAAATCATACCAGATATAGAGCAGCCTCTGATGCCTGAACTCATTCATCTAATGCTATTCAGTCACATGTAAAAAGCGGTGCCATTTCTCATATGTCCATGGTTGCCAGAATATTACAACATTGATAAACAATATTTTATCTCTGTCCCACTGTCTAGAAGGGACAGTGCTGTGATCAAAGATGAGATTAAGTCGTTCTTGGCCAGCAGGCGGATCTCCCAGGCTGTGGTTGCCCAAGTAACTGGTGAGTATGGACAATTTTCATTAAAAAGCCTGTAACGTAGTAAAATACACTCAACGAATCCTGGTCTATACCATTGCTCAGGGATCAGTCAGAGTCGGATCTCCCACTGGCTTCTGCAGCAGGGCTCAGACCTGAGTGAGCAGAAGAAGAGAGCCTTCTTCCGCTGGTACCAGTTGGAAAAGACCAACCCTGGTAACATTAAGTCAACAGTGATGTTAGCGTATTAACATTAATTTGTGATGATGGCCCAATAAGTACACTTAAAATAATATATTGTTGGTCCATTTTGCATTTTAGTACCACATGTTAAATGTAGTGAAATTTAAGTTTTTCTATTTAAAAAAAAAAAAAGACCATGTCCATTCAATTATTGTGGATTTTGTTAGACTGGGTGAGATGTTAGTGACATATTCCTGATTTTGGTGTTTGTAGGCGCTACCTTGGCCATGAGAGCTGCTCCACTGGCTTTGGATGATGTGATGGACTGGCACCAAGCTCCACCCCCATTTGTACCCACACCTGGAGGCTTTCGACTGCGCAGGGGCAGCCGCTTCACCTGGAGGAAGGAGTGTCTGGCAGTTATGGAGAGGTGAGCTGCAAATTTAGAATAGAATTGTCCCCAAATGTACTTTAAATAAAATGTGTTTATTTACATTTACCAGTTACTTCAGTGATAACCAATATCCTGATGAAGCCAAGAGAGAGGAGATTGCCACTGCATGTAATGCTGTTATTCAGAGACCAGGTGAAGCACAATTTTGAGTACAATGTGCACAATATAAACATAAACTATACATTATTCTCCTTTAGAAAATGTGTGTAAATCTGCCCCTAAATGCAGTAATGTGTGTATTATAGGAAAAAAGCTGTCAGATTTGGAGAGGGTCACGTCTTTGAAGGTGTACAACTGGTTTGCCAACCGTCGCAAAGACTTGAAGAGGCGCGCTAACATTGGTAATGTCCTTATATTTTGTGTGTTTGTGTTTGTATTTGTGTTGTGTATTGTATTTAACTAATTTGTCATATCGATGCACTGTGGTTAACTGTGTGTTTTTGAAGAAGCATCCATCTTGGAAAGCCATGGCATTGATGTTCAGAGTCCAGGAGGCCAGTCTAACAGTGATGAGGTGGATGGCAATGACTTTCCTGATCAGGTACAAATTCTTTTTAAAATGGTGATCTTGATCTGTTGATCTAGAGAGTTGTGTTTTCACATGGACTATATGTAATAAAGGATGCTTGTTAGTTAGTTCCATTTCTGTAATTTCTGGATACAGAGACACTGAAATGTTTTTTACAGTTGGTGTGTCTGATCATGTATAACCTACTATGGTGCTGCAGGTATGTGAAGTCCCTCTGTTTGACAAAAGAGCTTCGGCGCGCCCGTTTCTGTATGGACGAGCAGACCTGTCCTCTCCAACACAGGTACAGCTTTAATACGTCTTTATGACATGTAAGTGAGACATCTGCATCTATTCAACATCTGCCCTCGTCTAGGTCCCCACTTTACTCCCAAGTTGGTTCTCGGCACTGGGCAGAGGGGCCCTGGCTGGGCATCGGAGCTCTCTGATTGGCCGCACTCTGCTCTCAGGGCTGGCCTCTCACTCTGAAGGGGGCAGGTTGTCAGGGGTGTCCTGGTCCCCCCCATCCCCTTCTCTCCAGGACGAAGCCACCATTCACACTGTGTTAGCAGGTCAGGAGCCAGTAAACCTGGAGAAGGCCAATGATGAGCAAGCATCAGCTGCAACTCTGGCCAATCAGAGCAGCCGGGAGGATGACGTCAAACCAGAAGGTTTGGAGGACGACTGAACGGGTTGGTGCAGATCATGTGCTATTATGCAAGCAGATTTTATAGGAATGTATCAAGTGACGAAATGACCAAAAGCGGTGTAACTATAACCCCGAAATACCTCCCAACCCTACCTCCAACCACCAACCTGCTCCGCTACGCTCTATAAATATCACCTTCTTATCCTCTGTAGTGAAAAGTACAAAGCTTCTTGTGCTCCCTTAACAGACTTAACCAGGACATGATGCGTGTGCATCAACAGACCAGGACAACACTGTAATTCCTATGTTCAGGGTCCTTCACTGCTACCACAACACAACTAAACCGCCTCAAACATTCATTTGTTATGCGTAGACAATGGCTTTTAAGATTATGTTGCACATTTCTTCATAGTCTAATATATTTCAGACTTCAGTTTAAAGTTCAGCAAAATAAGCTTAGTTTTCCTACAGACAGAAACACTCAAAACATGTTGGTATTGTGACTGTCTCTTCTCTTTGCTCCCACAAAATATAAGCTTATAAACTAATAATCATTTATTCATAATACTGAGCTGTCAAAGGTAGCTGAACTGTAGGCAGACTTGTATAAACTGTTAACTCTGGTGTTTAGGCAAAGCAGCTGGCCAGGGCTATGGCCAGTGAGCTGCTAAATACCGCCTTCGTGATCACTTATTTATATGCAGTACTACTGTCTTCAGTGTGTATGCATATATCCACGTACAAATGCAGTACATGATTTGTGAGGGTATACACTTGTCAAAGTATAAAGATGTTTGCTTCAAGTGGCATCTCAGTGGCTTGTTGCTAAAATGCAATGATCCATCAGCCAAAGTATTACTATAGAGATTTGTTTTATATTGATCATTTTGCGTGTAAGAATATGTATTAGATATACTCAATGACACATCAAATGTGTCACTATGCTTTATTTGTGTTCCAAACACATTTTTATTTCTTTGAATATTTTATAATGACACTATTGCATTGACTGCTCTGCTGACAGCATGTGCAGTGACCAGATGAGTGACTGTTTTTCTTTTGGATGAACAATGGAAGATTTTTCCAGTGTTCAAATGCAGCCATTGTGGAAGTCCTGCCATTTCTTGTTCATTCCATAGAGTATACACTTGTCTGGTTGGGAACTATCATGGATCGGGTAGTTTAATTGTTTAAATGTACAAAAGCAGATGCTCTAAAATCATTTACTGCTATCTGCTAGTATGTGCCAAATTTGTAAAACTAAAAGATAATCAGGATATACACTATAAGTGTTAGTCAGCTGCATAACATCTAAACCAGAATTTGTATAGAACAGTCAGTTGCTTGTGTTTTAGTGTGTTTTAGAGAGTGTCACTTATTACATTTCGCTATAATCACTTTGTGGTGAACTAGTGAACATCACAGGAGTTTTAGTGAGCTGATATACAAACTATGTACAATGTTGTTCAGCACATAAGATGTACTGTACGTCTTTAAGTTGAAGTGCCTTCATATTTACTGCTTGTCATCAGACAATTTGCATAAACAAGGACTTCTGCAATAGTTGTGAACACTTTGAACCTTGTTTTCAAGCCATTTCGGCTTTTACAAATATTTTATCTCTTTAGGTGCTTCATGCTAAGCTACTAGTTAAGATTCAAAACAAATACCTCACCTTTCCTCAGTTGTAAGCTACATCAGGTTCCTCTGCAGCTGTTCAAATGTGAACCCACACTGTTTCAACTCAATGCGCCCTCAAAGGGAATTCATATTTAGGACCAACCAATCCGAAAAGGGACAACCCACTAAAAATAGAATTACACATTATATTTGGTCCCACTCCTGATTTTGAATAAATATGTTTGATGTAAAGCAGCTGAGCTGCTCTGCGTGTTACTGCTTTAAGTTCTCATATCTGAGGCGCTGCTGCAGTGTAAGTTTATTTTCACTTGATTTGAAAATGGGTTAAAAACCTCACCAATTCTACTCTGCCTAGCAGAAGCCTTCAGAAGGTAATTGGATTTTTGAGATTTAGACTTAAAGTCATTTTAAAACCCAACATTTGTAAGCTAAATAAAAAAAGAAAAAATTTATATGAGTGGCTAAAAGTATCAATTACTAAAATGGTTCTTCTTCGTCCTTCCTAAAAATGCCTCAGATAGCTTCCATTGTACTTACCTCTACGTCATATTGTTAGTGCACTTTGTTTGCAACCCCATACTGTCTTTATGTTCCAATGCAGTTTTTACCTTCTGCCTCCTCCCATGCTTCATTTACTGTACCATATGACCCTCCTCTGCTCCTAAGTGTAACTCTGGAAACCACCTCTTTCATATCACAGGATAGTGGTGGAGGGGTACAGGTGCCTGGGGGAGGCAGGAGGTTCTAATGGAGGGAGAGTAAAGGCTAAAGCTTTGAGTTCGCTTTAGCTGCAGAAATCTGACTTGCTCACTTATCAGAACATGTAAATAGATCAGTTTGGTCAGGAGTTATCTATACTGTAGATACATCAGTGCTTCTCCAAGGTTTTTATTTGTTTTGGGCAATAAACTTTTCAATAATATTCCCAGCAGGATATTTTCTTATGTTACTTGATTGAAATAATTTTGTTTGACAGTCAAGATTTAGTGCCTTTTTTGGACAGTAGACTGTTCAGTAATCAGTATGTGGACTTTCTACATGTGCTTTTTGTTACTTTTCATCTGTTTGATAAACCGTATGTTATTTTTAAGGTGCATTTTTATTGATGATTCTATATACAAGGGAATAAACTGATCTGACCTGAGTATCTGAATTGAAGCCTTTTTTATTGTTGCATGTTCAAGTAGTTATACAAATACAGCAAAAACATTATTGTCTTTATTTCCTTTTCAGATTATGGTTGATGGTTAAAAAACAAAGTTATAAATGTGTCACTATACATGTCTTTGGATTGCAGCACGTATTACATAGAATGCAATTAACCAAAACTTGTGCTCAGATTTTTTTTTTTTTTTTATGCACATTGACATACAATCAATCACCAAATGTAATGTTCACACTAGAGACACAGTTGACTAGATTTAATGTAAAACCGAATAAATCTGGATGGTATGCTTTATTAAAAAAAAAAAAGTTAATGAAAAGCACCAAATATTTTCCCAAACAGAAAAGGACGAGGTAGAACAAGAACTCACTACTAATGCAGGAGCTTCATAATCCTCAGTCTGCCATTAGTGCTGAAAGAGAACCAAACATTTGAATTGACTACTTTAATAGTAAAGAACGTAGACTTCTGGCTTAGCTGTTGTAAGGCTTAAGAAAGTTGACCACTTATCCAATATACCTAAATGCACCTTAAAAGTTAGAGACAACAAGAGCACTTCAAATTAAGGAAAAGCATATCAGACTTCTTAATAGTTCACCCATGTTTATGTTTTGATGGAATATGTGCATCATGAAGACTTTTTATTTTGATAACTCAGATGCTTGTATGGTGCTGCAAACTTTTTAAAACATCGATTGCACATACATATACATTTTACAGAAAATATGTAAAACTTTTACTTGAAAAGCATATTGCTCCAACATCAACATCTTTCACTGTACATTACACTAACAGGCGTCACCTTAGACTAAATAAGAACACTGAATCTTGTTTTTCAATCACAAGTTTTTGTTATACAACAGTTCCACAACTATCTTTTAATTCCTTCTGGAGAATTGTGCAAATGTACTGAAGCACTGATATGAGAATCTGCGTCGAAGATGGTCATGTATTTGAGGCACACAAAAAAATGGCCAAGAAGGAAAAGTAAATGTCCATCTTAACAGAATTCAAAGATTACACACAACCCCACAAATATCAAAATATCATTCCCTTCATTATTTCAACAATTATAAACTGCTATACACTGATATTTCTGCAAGCTTTCAAGATGCACAGACACAAAACATACCGTATGTCCTGTTTCCATTAACTTCCACAGCTCACAGTATCTACTTTCTTTGATAAAAAATAATTATCTCCCAGAAATTATTCCAGCCTTTCCTTCTTCAAGGTTCACATGACAAAGTGCCTTCTCAATTTACTGCTTCATAAAAATAGTTTGCTGCCAACTTTAGCTCAAAGGCAAAGGCATATGGATAAAATTCCAATCTAGTACACAGTAATAGATGACTATGATTTATGATCATCCCAAAATGAGCTACGTATTTTACATTTGAATTTACAATAGCAGCGATTTTCTCAAATCATTTGTGCAACATTGATTAAATTAGCAATTTTCATGCAATAAAAACATGTAAAAGCATTTACAAATAAATTAAAAAAGAAAATCAGTCCTTCAGATAGGACATGTTAATAAAAGGAATGCAAACTCTGCATTAATCATAAGTAGACTACATAGTGTGTGCTTATGTGCATGATACATGATGTATCAGCTCCCAAATGATATTTCTGCGTGTTAATTTAACAGGCCTATATTGCATCTGTGTATTGCTTTTTCAGGCATGGCTAAATTTGCTCTTGACGTGTTCTGGCTTGTTCTGCTGGATATGTTTGAAAATCCAAACGTTTTCAATCAATCTACTGAGCCAAGGTCACTATAAAACTTTGAAGTCCCTCTGGAATGTGACATTCAATAAAAATCTCATTTAAAAACATCACAGTCTGCCAAGGCTGTACCTTGTCCTTTCTCACCAGATATGCAAGAAGCATCCATTAGTTTGTTTTTCCCAGATGTGTCAAGATTAAACACTCATGAAAATGACAAATGCATAGTGGAAAAAAATAATGCTTCATTCTATGTGAATTCCCATTAGAACTCTACATGCCACTTCTCCCCTCCTTTCCACATACTTCTGCCCCTCCACACTAACACCTTCCCAGAGACCTAAACATGGCGCCACCTGCTGTACAGATGCCATACATTATTCTTTTCTATTCTCTAGCTGGTTTAATTACACTTCCTTTTCCACTGTTCAATGCAGAGTCAAACATCTCAGTGCAAAAACCATATCCCATAACAAACTGTTAACTTTCATAGTGGCTTTATCCAATGGCGATGACTGCCGTCTTTTATACTTCAAAGACAACATTGACAGTCCTAAACCTCTCGTGTCTCTGCTCTCCTCTGCAGTCCCTGAGATCACCTTACACTTTGCACAAGTCATCCTCCAAACCACAGCGCAAACCTTAAATTAACAAAACAAATACAAACTAAACAATGGTAAAGGCACGTTCTGGGAGAAGAGTTCTGGAGGGAGAGAGGACGACCACACCTCACAGCTCAGACATGTGGTAGAAGGAACAATGAATTATGGGATGTTGCGCTAGACAGGTAGATTCCTGCTTCTAAAGAGGTCTAACAAATGCAAACATGTCGCTGTGAGAGTTGTATTAAAAGCACTCCAGAAATACGCCAAGAATTACTTTTTACATTCATAGACAAAAAGTACAAAGGGTCATGGCCAGAGTGCAGAAAACAGAAGATTAGACAAACAACGGCCAAAAATATGCCCAATTGTCTAACCATTAAAAAAAGATACTAGACTTAGATTTCCCACACTGGCTCTCCATAGAATACAGTCAAATCGAAGTCACACAACACAGCAACATGTTTGCATCTCTGTTCTGAGTCCATTAAAAGCAGTCTTCCGTTGACTGCCACCACTGATCTAAACCTCCAAAGTTCAAAATAAATATATCCTGCTTAAATCTAAAACTTTCTTTTATCTAGTCCTGTTTATGGTCCTTCTTGCAAAGACGTTTATTTTTATCCATTAGTTGTGATGGATGATATGAGCAAGCGTCCAGCTGGCAGAAGACAGTTGCATAGAAAACAGAAGAAGGGTTTTGGGGACATGGATTCTCCCAGAATCCTTTTGGAGTCTGTCTCAGCTGGTCCATGACTTGCGGTTCTCCCCCCGACGGCCAACCAGTGAGTCTCCTCTGAGGACGGGGACATGGGGGGCAGGGCCAAAGTCTCCTGGGGGTTTGCGTACCGTTCCTCGAGTGGACACACGGTCTGGACGAACTAGAACGCCATAACCCGGCTTACAGTGGAAGTAGCGATGGCCTCCCACTGAGCCGTCGTTCTTACCTGTTAATTTAAAAAAAGGCAAACTAAGACAAGGTCCAAGACTGGCTTAACACAATGTATTTAGTTTGTCAAACCATAACATATCTTAGCTAGACGTGTTTGCCTAAGAAAATACACACTTGATATGTTAAAAGAGAACATTATCCTAACTGTGTAAAATCAGCCATTATACATTTTTAACCATGTTATAAACATCATCATTTGCCTCTTCAAAATACATTTGCCTTGTATTTTGAGTAATCATGATGTTTGACTAATCCTGCACTGCCCTGCATTTGAGACTTTAGTGCACAGAAAATTTCTGTTTTTACATGACCCCCATCTCTGCCCACTTGCAATAGTTCAAAAATGATTCAGACTCCGAGTCATACATGTCGGGTTAAAAAAAATGTCACACAGCCATGTTTCAACAATAAAAAAGAGGCAGAGGCTTCTCAGTTCTTCAATTCTGAACAGGAAGTAAATTTTTATTATTAAGCTGTCTGTATTGTGGTTTAGAATTCTTAAAATAATAGTTTAATATATTTAGTTTACACAACAGAGGAAGCACATAAACATTTATTATAGTGTTAATGTGTAACTATTACATACGTAGTAGAATTAAAGCTGATTATGGAGTATGAACTAAACAAAACAAATCACATCTGATATAATGGTCATCAACATTTTCATGCCTACCATCTGCAGGTTAGTGATCGGATTTTCAGCTCCTTTGACATGAACCGATTCAAAAGATTAGTGTCCCACAAAGAACCATTCAAAAGACTGCCTCTTTCACATTTGATTATATGACAGAAGCCAAGTGTGAGAACTAATTTAAATACAAACTAATCACAGAGAGATTTGTTTAAAATGGTTCTGAGAGTGGGAGTGCAGTTACCCTTTGGAATCATGCATAATCTAAATCAAATTTTGCAGTACAATTAAATAATAAAAAAACTAACCGTTACAATGAGGCCAAATGTGTTTTTGTGTGCGTGTCGCCTGCCCTGCTTCTGTGCCGATTCTTGTTTTGGTTCAGAAAAAGTATAAAAATGCATACAAATTTGAAATAAAAAGATTTGGCTCTTTGAAGAAATGAGATTTGGTTCCAACCATTTCAAAAAGTGAATTTGTTCATGAAGGTCACATCACTATCCCCTAAAGCAGCCCCTGGTTCAGATAACCTTTATACATTTGCTTGTCAAAATGTAACACATGAATTCTACATGTTACATTTTGACCACCACATGTAGGCATTTGACAAACCTCAACATCATTTTGGTAAGTAACTCATTAACTTACCTACTGGTGTGTCCAGTTCAACCCCCACCCATACTCCTTCGGCAAACTGAGTGAGTCCCACGAAGCGGACAGTTCCCGCCTTATTGCTTCCTACTGTAACATAAGCGCCCTCGGTCAGCCAATCAGGGAGCACTTCGTCGTGGTTGCGTTCATCATCATCTACACAAATCTCCAGCCTTTCAAAGTTTTCAGATGAGGTAAGGTGTTTTAGCCTGGAGGAGGAGTTTTCTGTGGTTCCGTTCTTGATATTGGCTGAGCTATGAGAAGTGGGCTGGACAATAACGGCCATATTGGATCCGCACTGGGGAGGAGAGTTCATAACATCACTCTGGTCAGTGTTTTGCTGTTGGTAAACTGCAGGTAATGTAGTCTCAGCAGCCACGAGGGAGGAAGACGAGGAGGAAGGGTGGAGCACGTCTGACAGGGTTACCGTGGAAACGCTACTAGAGAAATAGCCGCTGGAGGATTGGCTCAGGGGGCTCAGGGGAGTGGTGTCATGCGGGTCATGCACAGGAAGAGGAGGGACATCCGGGAAGTCTGCCCGCCTGTCTTTGGAGGATGCCTGAAGAATATTGGTCTACAGCGGACCAGCAGGAGGCGCAGGAACATGGCAACAGAGCGCATGCAGACAGACAAAACCAAAATGAACAACAGAAAAGATAATAGTCATATAGTTTGTGTTGAGTAGCTCTGTGAATTGCTTGACTATGCTTTCATTTACCGCATTGCAACTGAATTTTTCAGAAATATCTCACCACGTCAACCTTGGCATCTCGCTCTTCTAGCCCAGCTGAAGAGACTATACGTGGCATGTGCTGTTGAAAAAATAACAACAGGCATGGGAATCTGCAACTTAAGCGCACATTCAATGTAACTTCCTTATCGTAAATTCTGGTTTAAAGATTGTGTTTTTAATGGTACATGAATAGATGTAATAAGACCTGAAAGATAATACATTATGCCCAAATAATCATAATAAAGGAGAAAGATGTGATGCAGATTGCTGACATTTACAGCTCTAGCGTTGCTAACCTGCTGGTTGTGTGGAGATGGCCTCAGCTCCTTTTTGTCATCTCGTGCTGGAAATAAAGACTTGAGCAGTTTGGGCATCTGAGGAACCAGCGCCTTCACTGAAAGATAAGAGGCAGCAAGTCCTGAACGACCTGGGGGGAGAGGAGGGGGGTACGGAGGCGAGGGACGCAGAGTAAAAGAAGAGATGGAGAGGAAAAAAAAAAAGATGGTGTGGGAGGAAGAGGAGGCATGAAAGATTAAGTTGAAAGCCAAATTTCCAAACACAGTGACAGGCTCACAGAGGCAGACATCGGCTGACAGGCAAAATGCAGATGGCTGAATCAATAGCACTACCGCAACCAAAGCAATAAAATCATATATATTCATTTTGTTCATTAACCGAACAAAATCAATGAAAAGATGTAACACAGATTGATTACAATAGTACATTATGATTATGAGAGATAAGAACAGCACAAAAATAATGATTCAAGAGGAGGTGATGAAAAAGATGGAGAGAACAGTCTAAAAGTAGAAGAATGAAACAATTACATAGTGTTTTGGCTCTAAGCAAAGTATACAGGCAAGAGATCGAATATAATGGTAACAATGACACATGAGATAGTTGAATAAGTGCATCGTTCAGTCTATAGTTGGACTGAATAGAAGGCTAGCAGTGAATGGAGAGAAGGAGCAGTGGAGAAACCAGATAAATGACTAGAAACAGAGGATGATATAGGAAGAGCTTCACCTTGCTCTTGTTCCTGGGTTTGTGGAGAAGAGGCAGACAGAGGAGTTGGGGCTGAGGGTGGCGATGGAGAGTAGGTGGAGGGTGAAGAGGCTGGACGTGGGAGAGTGCGCTGGACAGGTATGAAGATGTCCTGTTGACTTTCCCATCGAACCTATAGAAGACAAGATAACAAATCAACACGATTCAATTTTGATATAGATATGCATGAACTTGCACATTGCTACAGTTTGCACAATATAAAAAAGGTTTGGGAACTATATTGCTTGGATAGATTGCTTTGAATATTTCAAATAGGACTGACTGATGTCATTTAATGCCAACTTATGTATATAAAAAAGGAAAATCACCTTGTCATCCAATAGACAGCTTGTGGACAGGTCCTGCCTACTTCCCGACAGCTTAACACAATAATGAGAGAGCATTTACCAATGGTATGGTATATCAAATGATAGATGATCACATTTATGGTAAAGTGCTTTACTCTATTCACTGATGGAGAGCTTAAGCTTCTTCTACTGCTCTTTCCTCTTGAGGTCAGTTGCTCCTTCACAGCCACTTCCTAGAAACAAAAAGAACACGTTCAAGCAAAAAAGCATAACCTGTGTATTGTTGTCAGACATGGTCCAAACCTGTCTGAGTCTGTCCAAAGTGAGAATGTTCTCTAAACTGAGCACACTGCGGAGGTATTTCTCAATGGCAGCTTCTTCTTCCCCTGACTGGCTGTTGTGTGCGTTAGCAGCGAGCCGTGCCAGCATTTCTCGGTCCTCTGTACCAGGGGCATCCTGCTGAGAGGAGGAAGGATCAGAATGTCTGAAGAAATAGATGAACAAACACTGCATTGCACGACCGTTATGCCTTGGTGACCATACCCCAGGAATGTTGGAGACCACCTCAAATGTGACCCCACAGCCGGGGATGGTGCTGCGAGTGGACATTCTTTTGAGGAGGTTGTGGGCAAAGCCCTGGCGCCCAGGGTTGACATTGACACAGATCCTTTTCCTGAGCACAAGCTGCATATCCGCTGGGTGACTGAGTTGAACCACTACACGAACTGTCAGGTAGACCCTCTGTTCAGGCCACGTCCCTCCACGGCTGAGCTGGGGACACTCATGCACAGTAGAGTCCCATGATGCCTCTGCTTTCACCTGAACAGGTTGTACAGACACATCATATGACGATAGGGGTCTTTTGGATAAAAAGACCCTAATACAGAAATCTCTAACCTCTCCATCATAGTGTTTCACAATCTGAAGGTCAAAAAAATCATCTTCATCCTCTCCACTCAAAGTGGCATCCCAGCCACCAGCTTCAGGGACCTCAAACTGATCCTGAGAACTCAGGTCATCAGCTGGAGGGGGCAAAGAGAATGTTATTAAACACACTGTCAATTATTTTGTATGAAAAAATGGCAACTATTATTTGACTTTAAAATGAACATTACATATTTAACTAACAAAAACTTACGCCGTAGATTCAAAAAGACGACTGGAATGTGTGTTTCCATGCCTGGAAGAGGTACCCTAATACACAAAAATCATACAAATATCTCCATGTATATATTTGTAGGCATGATTGAAAAATTATACTATAAAGTACTTACCATTCAGCAGGTGCACCAGGAATTCCACTACCAGCAGAGGGCACCATCACTGCATTTCTTTCCTCAGTCAGAGTCAAGCGCCACTCAAGCAGCTGAGCCTCTCTTTCCATGTCATCTTCCGTCTTTTCTGTGGACAAAGAATACAATCCTTTTTCAGCAACCCCAAAATGACCAAAAGAGACCAAAGCAATAATATGCATTATGTATATATTTTTTGTACTTTACAAAAATGTTTTACCTGCTTTGCTGACCAGATTCTGCAGATGTTGGTCAAGGTATTCCTGCCTCTTTGTTAGAGCAGCTAACCACTGTCGTCTCAATCGCTCAAGATCTCTTTCCTATATAAAAAAGCAGTGGTTAAGATACATCATGCTCTACAAGTTCTATCAATATTTCAGATTCACAAAAAGTGGGCATACCTGATAACTGTCCATCTCATCGCCCTCTTGGTTGGTTGTAGTTGATCTGATCTCCACACAGCCTACTGACACAGCAAGAACTATCTCTGCTATCAAAGGCATGGTGCCTGAGTCCTGAACTGAACGCACATCCACCTGGATTCGCCTAGACTGACCCTAAAAACAATAATAAAGAAAAACGTAACACTTCGAATGTTCTGTAAAGATTTGGTGCATAAAATAAATATTCATAAAGGATATCAACCTGACGAAGCTGAAAGATTCCCCCGGTTCGAATGTCTCTAGCAGGAATGACCTCAACAGGAACAAAGTCTCCATTTTCATTTATCTCCAAGATCTGAATCCACAGCTCCAAGCGACGAGTTACCTCACTCCATCTGCACACCAAGCACAAATTTTATTCAATAAACTGTTTTGTTTTGCAATTTGTTGGTGCTTCGTATAGCCCCTTTTACAGTAGTACCTGTCTCGTAAAGTGCGTGTTTTGGCCTGGATGATGCTTAGGTCCCACAGAGCTGGGTTTCTGCCTGCGTCTGCCTGTCTGTGCCCATAAACTTCAATAGCGACTGCTCCCTCAGTCAGATATTCAATAAAATCCTCTGAAACAGACACTGCATGCTCCTGTAGCACCCATGAGAAAGATTGAATTATAAGTATAAATTTACCTAAATTAAACATTAAACACTTTTTTTTAAATCATGCTTGACCTTGCAACTATCAAACACCACCATGCAATGAGGATCTTTGCCACTTGGTGAGGAGGATGATGTATCAACTTCAGGGGCAACAATGAAAGGCTCAGACTGGTCCCAGAATGAGTACTGACAGAAGACAAAGTTGGACAGGTACTGAGGAAGCCCAGTGGCTTGCAGGATCTTGATCTGTAAAAGGCCGATAAAAATAATGCTTTGTAAAACAGAAGTGTGGTACTGGTCAAAAAACCCAAAACATCACATACCATACAGACTAATTTACGGTCCTGAATTTCAATTGTTTCATTATCTTGGACGTTGTCAGGGTCGTCACCACCAGCTACACTGTCTTCAAGACCACCTCCTACTCTTACCACTTCCACATGAAGACGTCCTGCCACCTTAAAACATGTAGAAAAGACTTATGTCAGCCCATGGATTTTAATGAATGTCTAATATTGACATAAGAAAAGATAAATTTAAAATACTAGCAAGCAAATGTGTACCTCTCCCTTCTGGTTGATAATAGGCACTGCATACTGGAGTTTTACATCATAGAAAAGGCATGATAAAAATACATTGGCAACGCCAATGAGGCTATGGTTTTCTTGCTCATCAAAAAATGGGTCAGCTCGGCGAAAATATGTCCTCATTCCCTGTGCAAATTTAAGACAGAACTGAGTTTAAAAATGCCCAAAACATGTAGCTAATTAATGTACCATTTTGAAGCATTCAGTGAAACAAATATTTTACAGGGTTGTCTTGGTCCTGTTGTTGATACTCTTGCCACTCTTGATACAGCTCCCTCATATCAACAAGACGATTCTCCATTTTTTCTAAACTCCAGATTTGCTTTCCACGAGCCCTGCGCCGAACCTGAATAGCTGGTTCACTGAGAACGGCATCCCTCTGTGGGTGAAGACCAAGGGGTTTAGGTTTAAACAAAAACAAAAACTACCTTGAAAGGATATGTTTAAAGACCTTGCGGTTTGCGTTGAGGTTGTCTGCTGGTATCTGTAAAGTAACCCTGTACTCCGTGTGTCTTTCTAGTTCATCGGAAATGAAACAGGCCTCTTGCACTAATAGGTTTGCTCTCACAATCTGCTCCCTTAACCTTCGCAGGCTCCTCACCAACACAGCCTCCCTGCACAGAAAGAGAAAAGATCTTATTAGTTTTAATTTTAGATATCTTATCTAGCATTTCTAAACTCAGTCTATCGTTGACTGAGTTTGAACACTGATGCTCACCTGTCTTCACTCCACTGCCTGAGTCTGCTTTGAGCACTGGTGGAGTGGCTCATCCCGCCCATGCTGAGCCTCTCCAGACTGCGGTAGTGGGACTGCTGGCCTTGTTGAGTTGGTGCTGGGGTTACGGACAGTCTGTCAGGGTTGAGTTTTCTTCTGAGCTGCTGAAGCTCTTGCTCGTACATCTGTCTCTGCCGCTCCAGAGCTGAGCGTTTCTCCTCTTCATGCTGCCTCTCCAAAGACTGAAGCACTGCCTGCATTGGGTCTGATCGAACAAAAAACACTTAAATCTAGTCACTTAACTTTGGAGTATCATCTTGCATATTCCCTTACCGTTGCTGCCCAAGGCCTTCATCATAACTTCAGTCTGGGCAAATTCATAGGAGAAGCTGACCTCACTGGACACTTCACTGGCTGTGTCACCGTCCGGATCTAGCTGATCACTGCTGCTACTATTCTTCATCACACCACCTTCACCTTCTTCATCATCAGCGGATCGGGTACGCTTCTTAGGCAGATTGATTCTGCCCACACAGATGATAATGTTATGCAAACAAATTTTTTCCCAGATTAAGGGAATGTATAATAAAAAGGTATAGGTATAAGGTATATAAGAATGTTACCTAAAGAAGTGGTTGTTTCCCCAGAGGATGCGATCCCCATGGTGAAGTTGTAGAGCACTGGATACTGGAGAACCATTAACACACGTCCTGTAACAGGAAGAAATTACTTTAATGGGTTAAAATCATAGAGGTACCAAGCTTTTTCCACTTTTTTTGCTGTAATTACTCACCTAGCATTGCGATAAGGTGTTAAAATGACAGCTGCTTCTGAAGTTATATCAATAACACAGTGCTCCGCTTGGATACCCATTCCACACAGCTGGATATCCTGGGAGTCTGCGGATCCCACTTTTGTGTGCTCCTATAATAAAAAACATTGCTATGTTAAACTTTGCTGTTTTCATCTGTTGTTGAAATATATGCAATTTACCTTTAAATAATACACTAGTAGCTCATTAAGTGCTGGGTCTGCATTTAGATTGACAAGAAAACTCTTATCATCTCCAACTTTTATTCCTGACGACTGGAGAGAAATACCCAGAGACTCCAACTGCTTCTGTCGCTCCTACAAGCACCAACAATGGCAAAGGGACAAATAAGACATAATGAAAAACATGACTATGAAAAATTACACAAGATATGCTTACCTGTGCTATTTCCTCTGTTTTTCGTAGCTTCTCTTCCCACGTTACAGTCATTTCTTGAATCAACTTCTCTGACTCCTCCAAGCGATCCTTTAACTCTGGAGCCTTCATAGACTAGCAAAACAGCAGTTAAAGCCAATGAACCATAAGATAAGACACAATGAGCCATAAGATAAGCAAGACAATCCATT